GATCTCCCCATCCTTCAATGGCCGCTTCTGAGAACAGAGCCTTTCCCTTGTCCTTCCAGCACATCTCAGCTGCGCCTTTCACTGCTCCAGGGACGCTGGTTTAATTGCATTCAATGCATTAGCCTAATGAAAGGCACTAAACAGCACTAAGTGATTGCTCTGTAGCTTAACTCCGGTTTGCACTCACGCATTTTTGCCTGAATTCTGCCCAGATACAGTCAGCCCTGCCTCACTGCCTTCAAGCTGCCCAAGGGCATTATTCAGCGTTGTCATTCCTAGGGTACGCTACAAAACATGGGGGTGAGGGGGCAATTTAACGAACTGCAAAGCCACCTTATCAGCCAGATCCATCACTGCCAGTCTGGATGGGTTAGCGGGAGCATCTGAACTACACTGACTCCCTGGAACCATGGATTCAGATCTCTTCACACTGCAATGATCACTCGCCTTTCAAGCAATTCATGTGTGGGTGTTTACAATGACACCATCAAACCCAACATTCCTGCCTCTCCTGCATGGACGTTACAGATCTAAGATTTGGGTTTTGCCCCAGTCTCCTCAGCTGAAGACACAGACACACACACACACACACACACACACACACACACACACACACAGTGTTGTGCACTGCATTGCATGTCACTGGACTGCTGCCTTCTACCCCAGGGGTAGCTGCATTTCAGGAGCGATCTGGTTCTTGCACATACCATGTTTAAAGAGCTTCCCCAAGGTGCTATGTTAACGTGGGACGTTATGATGAGATTCCAATGGCAGAACAGGTTTAATCCTCGGGGTGTTTTAAAAACACCAGCCAATCAAACGCACACGTTCGCCAACAGACCCTTGGCTCTAGTGCCACTGCAAGGCGTTGCTACGATGGGACACAGCTTCTTATAATGGACTGAAGTTTTTTCCCTAGTGTGGGAAGCAAAGCAAATGGACTAAACCATAGCAACGATGGCTCCCACCGTTAGCACAGCTCAGGGCATCTCAAACCGATCACGCGGCCTTGTGGCTTTCTGTCTAAGTCAGTGGTGGAGGCCTCCTGAGCTGTACTTTGGATTAGTCCCTCAGAGCCCTGCCTGCTAACAGAGGGCCAATTAAATGCAAGAACTGGTGGGGTAAGGGGGGGTAAGAGAACAGCTGGAGCATGATTTGAGCCAGAGGAAAAACGGCCTTCTGCGATTATCCGGATGGAAGCTGGATTGCAGCTCACTGAATGATAAGCTTGTTATGCCGCGGAACAAGCCAAGCGGTGCCCTCATTTGCCATGCTTTCAGCTGATGCAGTAGTTCTGCTCTGCAGTCACAATCTGTTCTGGTTGCTAGCCCTCTTTCCCCGCAATTATCAGGCTATTGCACGCCACACAGGTGTTCCCAGCAGCCTGCCCCGATATGGATGTAACAGGCCTTGTACTCCAGCCCTGCACTCCCGGATGTCTCTGCTGTGGTCAAGAAGGGGAAGGGGCACCGTCTCTTACAAAATGATACAGCTGCTTAGGACCACAAGTAGCTGTCAGCACTTCTGCAGGACAAGTTTAAACCCCCGCAGTGATGATTATAGCGGGAATGGTGCCAAGAACCTGATCTGAACTCGCCGTTTCCTGTCCGGATTCTCCAGCAGATTGGTACGACACACACCTGTCCTGGGAGGGATCAGTGGGCATTTTGGCTCCAAGGAGAGCTCAGTACTTAGGTCTTCCCCCCTCACTTGAGCAGCTCTAGGAACAGTGTTAGCGAGACAGCCGGTCCAGCCAGAGTGCAGCTGATGTGCACCTGGTATTTCGGCGAGAAAGGCCAGCTGTGTGACGCTCTCCACAGCTCGGGTCAGACAAAACTGTGCAGTTGTTCTGCCCGGCTGTAGCTGGTTACCCTGGAGCGCTTCCTGGATCATCATGTCCTTGCTGGTTTTCTCAGCCACCAGGCCCAGTGCTGTTATAATGGTTTCTGTTGAGTAGAAAGTTGGCGGCTTTTGCAAATAAAATAAGATGCAGCGAGTCTGCTGCATGTTAACATGAATGCTCATCAGTAAACAAGAAGAGAGAGCACTTAAACAGCAGACTGAGAATGGTAAGAAATGGACATTAGTGATTAACAAGCTAATAAAGCCTTCACTAGACTTATGGAAAGAACAAGACCCAGCAAAACCTATTTCAGCCAATCAATTAAATACTTAAGGACATTAACGAAGCAAATATAAGAAATAAAACTCCTCCAGGACATGCAAAGGGGAGGGGAATCTCTCTCAGGCCCCAGGAGAAGCCCCCGAGCTGGGGAGATCAGGAGAACTGGAAGGAACACAACACTGCAGCGGGGTAAGAGTCGTGGCAAGCCCATGGCCCCTTGGACTGTGGGAGGTGCACAGGTGCCAGAACAAAGGGGAGCCCACATAGGAGCAGAGACAGACACTTGCATGCTGTAAAACATAGAATCATAGAAGATCAGGGTTGGAAGGGACCTCAGGAGGTATCTAGTCCAACCCCCTGCTCAGAGCAGGACCAGTCCCCAACTAAATCATCCCAGCCAGGGCTTTGTCAAGCCGGGCCTTAAAAACCTCTAAGGAAGGAGATTCCACCACCTCCCTAGGGAACCCATTCCAGTGTTTCACCACCCTCCTAGTGAAATAGTGTTTCCTAATATCCAACCTAGACCTCCCCCACTGCAACTTGAGACCATTGCTCCTTGTTCTGTCATCAGGTAGCACTGAGAACAGTCTAGATCCAATGCAGAATCCAAGCTTTCATTTCAGAAAACGCTTCTAGCCCTCATGGTTGTGAAAGCCAATGTCGAAATGTGAACTGAGCCGAACCTCTACAGAGCTACCCTGCGAGTTTACAAGAGACAGCCTGGAACGAGAGCTCGGAGCTGGAGCGACCCAGTCCCCAAATTAACCTGTGCGCGTTGACTCTAAACTTTAATGACTGTGCTTTAAATGTCAGCATTAAACATTTCATCGCTGCTCGTTTGACTGGATGCAGAAGGGGGTGGCAATTTGGAGTTGCAGCAGGAAATAAAGGAGGGGGAGAGAGAAACGCAAAGAAAGGAGGATGGAGAAAGAAGAGAAACTAAAGGCAGAAATTGCAGCAGCCCTACCAACGAGCCGACTTCCCTACTGAATGATGTTGAGTGCCCCAAAGTACTGAACAAATACCCAACGATTACTGGGAGTTCGGTTACTACAGAAAAGTCAGATTCTACTCTTGATGTTTGTGCAGCCCCCATCCACCATCCATGGGAGATGGCTGCAGATTGAAGGGAGTGTGTGGTCCTCGATACGTACCCCAGGTCATGGACTCCACTTAAGAGTGGAATTTGCCTCTCTCCCCCAAATGAGTCTGACATTCTGGCTTTTACGCAATCCTCTGGTGCAGTAAATCGCACAGTAGGGGCCACGCCCCACACTCATCAGTGTTCAGGGCCTCTCACCACGGTGAGGTTTCCACCTCCTGTGCAGTTCACCAGGGCTTGGAATTGTTTTGCTTTTCCTTGATGCTTTCACTGCTTCAGGGGGACGCTAAACTTTGACCAAAAGAACTCACACCATCTTTCTGCTTCCTAATCGTCTCCCTCAAAGTTCCCAGCGCGTCAGAACTGATTTCATGAGCTGCCTGCTGCCGGAGATTTTAGTTAAAGCACAGCGTATGAAGAAGAAAGAATTCAGCGTGACCTCCCTGATCTGCTGGAGGAGGAGCGCTGTGCTGTGCTGACAGCGAAAAGTGCCCTTCCTTTTTCAGACTCACATATGAACCCAAGCACGGCACAGATGCCTCCCCCATCCGAGCCCCCCTCCCACCTTTTTGGCATCGGATGATGTACAGAAAAGTGAATGGGGAGACAGAGCATGAAACATCACAGAACACGCTACTGAGCACGGGACTCTCGGCGGCAGAGCAAGGCGAGGAAATCGAGTCGAGCAAATTAGCCGCTGCAGAAACTGTAGATTAGTGCGAGCAAGGAGAGAGTGAAAGGCAGCAGGGCCTGGCTTCCTGGGCATTGTACAAACACCCCGCGGGGGCCTTTGGGTGCTGCTGAAAGGACAGCTGAGAGGGGGTGAGCCTCAGGCTCCAGGCAAAGCATCCCAGGAGGAGAGCGAGAGGGAGGATGGGAAGAACGGGGCTAGCAGTCGGGGCCTTTTCCAGACCAAGCCATGGGTTCGTATCCTGAGAGCGTTGCAAGTGAAGAGGGGTTCAGTCCCAGTCCAGCACGACCCAGGTCTCTGCTCTGACAGGCCCAGAGCAGGATACCAGTGCACTGGCACCTGGCGAGTGCCACTGACGCACCTCGTCCCGCACAACCCTCAATGCTCCTTCTCCTAGCAGTGCTTCAAAAGAGCCTGAATATTTTATCCCAGAAAATAGACCACCTCTTCCCTTCCGGAGGCCGTGAACATCACCCTGCCCTCGGGAGGCCCCATTTCCACACTTACGCAATTCAGGCTGGACAGGAGGAGGAGAAATCAGACTAGATTACAGGGAAAAAGCCCCTAACAATCAACCCTCCCTACGAAAACCTTCCTGTTTAAAAATCTACCGCAGAATAGCTGTTCAGGGCATTGTGAATTAAATTATCCTGGAAAATCTCTACCAACTGCAGCATATGTTCTAATGAGCCCAACCGCGGCTCAAATGAAGCTGCATTCAGCGTTTCTCTAATTAGCAGGTAGGGCCATTGCCAAGATCCCACTGTGCATTTCCAAATACCAGAACTACCGAGAGCCACCCACCGCACTTGCCAGCGTGACCCCATCTTCTTCCCCACCTGCTCTCCCTTCTGCATGGACCAGGCAGCCGTGATCTGCAGACAGTCCTGGGAAGGCCAGCCTGGCCCCTTCCCTGCGTACCACTGAAGCCGCTGCTGCCTGGGCCTAGCGAGAGTGATGAGCAGAGGGGGAAGCCTGGACATTAACGCTCCAGCTGACACCGCTCAGGGCAACGTGCTTGCGGGAATCACCTGAACGCCATGCGGCAGCAATGAAAAAGGGCCGTCAGGTGTGCAGCTTACCTGCTCCTCCGAGAGCTGGGAGATGTGATTCACTGCAGCGTAAGACTCGATCTTTGGGTTGAAGTGGTTGATGATGGCTCTGAAAGAGAAGGAGGAAGGCTGTTAGGAATAGATTCCAGGGGACGCGATTCTCTCTAGCAACATGAGCCAGTGCATGGGGTGCGGGGGGGGTGTGTGTCTTCCAAAGGCTGCGTGCTGCCAGCCCCCGGTGATTCTGTCAAACACGGCGCTTGGCCCCAAGCGTTGCGCTCCCAGCTGCCTGGGCAGGGCGTCATCGCCGTGCCAGGGCAGGCTGCAATTCACTCTGCACCTAGTGGGCAGAAAACGAAGGTGGGGATCACAGCCAGGCCCTGCTCGGAGGGATCCCTCTCCCCAGCCAGTGAGGCACTTTCCAACCCTGCTGCTGCTACCTGCTTGTCTGCGAGGATCCCCACCTCCACTCTCACTTGCCTCTGCGCACTGGTCATTCCAGCCACAACCCTGCACTCCCTCCAGCCCAAGGCCTTAGGTCTGGCTGGGCCCTCCCCTGGGAGTCAGAGCCCAGCACAGCAGCTGCGAGGCTGGTCTCTCTCGTCTCGTTCACTTCACCAGCAGAAGGTCCCAAGCCCGGGCTCCGGGCGGGCAGCAGGAGTAGGGGCAGGGGAGCCCTCAATGCAATCTAAAACCGAGCACAGCAAGCCACGGGGGGAGATTTCCTCTTGACCTCCCATCGGTCTCCCCATGGTGCCACTGGCAGGACAAATGCTAAACCGACCGAGTCTCTGCCGTGAGGCAGCCGGGATAGCGCTGGTGGCAACCGACACTTGGCCAACGCCCTGTGCCAGGCGGAGCTCAGGAACGCAATGGCCTTCGCTGCGGCTCAGAACCGAGGGCGCTGTGATAGTGGCCTGGAGGAAGCTTGCCCAGCCCCGTTATGCTGTGCCAGTAGTCAGGCCTTTCGGTCTCATGCAAATTGCAGTAGTTGGGGTTGGTCCTGCTGTGAGCCGGGGCTGGACTGGATACCTCCTGAGGTCCCTTCCAACCCTGAGAGTCTATGATTCTATGGAATCAGCATGAAAATCCACTCAGTCTCCCACCCGCACGGTCTAATGGGGTCTCCTCCTCCCGGTCCCCCGCAGGCCCCAGAAGGCCTGTTCGCTGCTAAGAGGCTCAGGGACTGCTGAGATTGCAAGGTGCCAAGCAAAGGCAGCAGGGAGAGAGGCTGCCTGGGAGCATCTTTAAGTGCTTACATGGCAACAAATAAAGAACAGAGGCAGGGAAACCTGAAAGCAGGATTGACTCTGCCATCTCCTTCCTCCCGTAACATTCCCAGTGACCCTAAGCCAACTGGCGCGAGGTCTCCAGTGCACACGCAGCAGGCAATCAGTGTGAAGACCGAGCCCACAGCTCTGATACGCAGAGACCCTGCCACCACCCTCATTACGGTTTCCACTCCTTTGAGATGACACCGGATAATGCAAGTGCGGAAGGTCGCCTGCCAGGCAGCTGATCGCCCCTGCAGGGAGGAAGGGAGTCCGGAGGCTGGTGGCGAAGGGCCCTAGCTTTTCCCATTTCACCTGCATGACAGAAGCATCAGTGAGTGAGAACCTCCCTCTCCAGTAGCCAGGCCTCCTGACAGCCGTGGCTTTCAAGCTGGCTGGAGTAATGTTTACACCCCTAACGGCTACCCTACAGGAACAGAAGAAAAGACGCACAACAACTCCCACAAGGGCTGGCAGCTCAGTGGGACTCGGTGCACTCACGTGGTGCCAGCATTTGTTAAGGCACAGACTGAGCAGTCACTTGGACCCACGGCTGTGAAGCACTGTGAACGGGCCGTTGCTTGATCCCTGCTCAGCTCTGCGCTCGTGGAGCGGTACCCGCAATCACCCTGGGGAACTGGCTTCGGTTGGAATCGGGCTTTGGAAAGCCTTTAACTAAAGCACACGTCCCACGGGCCAGAGGCGGCGCTGGGGAGTGTGGGCATGTTCAGCCGATTTGTTTCTTTAACAAACCTCCTCGCGCTTTCCCAGCATGCTCTGCTGTGGTGCTGCCTTCCTCGGGACAGCGGAGCGAGAACCACCCAGGCTGAAATCTGGGCCTGCCTCTCCGGGTTCTTCCCTCGGTCCCCAGCACCACGACACCCGCGGACACAGCACAGCTCCATGGGAACAGACCCGCTCTGCAGCTGCGACTCTGCGCAGCACATGGGCGCTGGGCTCCGTGGCGTGCAGACACCCCCTGCCTGGGCCCCCCAATCCCTGCTTCGCCCCCATCCTCACAGCAGAGCCATACCAGGGCTACTGCAAAACTCCCACAAAGCCCTGCTGCGCGGGATTCCTTTCTCCATCAAAGGGGAGATAACTCTGAAACCTCTCGGTGTTTTACCCCTCAAAACTTCTGCCGTATAGACGTGAAACTAGGAGCCATCCGCTGCCCTGGGATGCACCTCAGAGCTGCCGTACGTCTCGTTCCCAGCTGGAATGTCACTCGGCAACGCAGCTACTCCACAGGCTGCGGCAGCCAAGCGCCATAGGGAGAAGAGCAGCTCTTTGCACAAGCTCCCCTTACAGACAACAAAACCACTCTCTTGGCTTGCGTTGCCCCCATACAGCTCCCTGCTCTGGGGGATGGGATAATTTCACCCAGCAGTAGCACGGATCACAGGACCCAGTGCGTGGAGGTGCCCAGAGCTAGTTTAAAAGATCTCAGAGAGAGAGAGAGAGAGAGAGAGAGAGAGCGCTGCGCCCGGTATTCGTGAGGAGCTGGCGAGCGCCTCGGCACATCTGAACAGTGAGGAAACCGTGAAGCTCTGACTGCAGGAGGGAGCGTTTCGATCCCCAGTCCAGCCTCTGACGCTGGGCACGCTAACCTAGTCCCACACTGCACGCACCCGTGTTGCTATTTATCAGGCAGACTTCAGAGCAACCTGGGGATGCCCTTCTCCAGGGTCTGTGGCACTCAGCAAGTCCATGGAGGAGATGCCTCTTGTCCGCCAGCACCACGTGCCCTGCCTGATCTACAGCGCAGTGACCGCTGTCTCCAGCCGGCGAGAGCAGAGGCTGTCGCTGCTTGCAGGAGGGAAGAGAGTGAAATGAGGGCCCAACCATCCAAGAGTGGATCCCAGCTGACCTTGTCTTTGGGTCAAGGCCGAATGCAGCGAGGGAGAACGCACCTGTGAACACCCGGAAGAGCGAGAGGTGCAGAGGGGCTCAGAATAAGCTGCACTGATCTCCTCCTACCTAGGAGGACCCTTGCCCACTGACTAGTCAAGTCCAGTATCAGCTCCCTCGGCTCTCATACCTGCTCTGTGCAGCATTTCGGGGACCACGCGAGCACCCAGAAACCAAAGGACAAGTTCATGTTTCTTTCCGAAAGAAGGACCAGCAATCGGCTACCATCTGTGCTGTAGACCTTATTGACTGGGAGCCGGGGTGGGGGCTGGTGGACGAGCACACAGGGGCTAAGGGCAAAGTTTTCAGAAGTGACTTAGGAGCCTAAGTCTCATTGAAAGCCAGTGGGATTTAGCCTCCTGAATCACTTGCCGCTTCCGAAAACGTTAGCCGAAATCCTCCATGTCTCAGTGCCTCGTCGCTGGAGAATGTGTTTTCTGCTGTGTCCCGCCTGGGCCCGTGGGGAGAACACAGCCAGAGGCAATGGGTGCTGCATCAGGAAGAAGCCTATAGCAAAACGCCGCACGCAGCCTCCTGGCAGGGGTAAAGGGCTAAATGCCATTGCAGGGTTTGTCAAACTCGTCGCATGCTGTCATCAAGGCACGTGAGACCCGGCTGGCTTCCCTGACCATTGTGCTGGCCGCAACAACCAGGGGGCCTGGGTGCAAAATGGAGCGAAGTGAGGCAGGCAAAAGGGGCAGCAATGCTGAAATGTGGCCAGGAATTGCATTGCTGATCGCTGACTCGGGGGCTCTCCCTGCTCAGAAATTGAAGTGTGGCAGGTGGCTACAGAAAGGAGCAGGAAGCCTGTTAGCAAGTCACCAATACTGGCCTCCGTTCAGTCCATTTATCAAGCCCTTGTTGTTCCCAGTCCAAGGCAGGTCAAATACCAGGTGCTGGGCACAGAGTGCAATCTGCAGCCAGAGCTGTTTCACGCACAAAAGCGGCATCACCAGCTCATCTTTCTCTCTTACCCCAGTGCAGCTCCCGTCGGCCAGGGTTCCAATCTACTCAGCATTCAGAGGCTGTGAAATGCTCCTAGCATCACCCCCAACTGGCTGGCGTTCATCCCTTCACGGCTGCACAGGTGTGATCTATGCCCACAACAGTTCTGTCAACTCAACTGAACGGTGGTGAGAGTCTTGTGCAGCATTGCCGGCACCTCTGGCCACACTGTGCACAGCATCACGCTTAGCATCAAAACCAGAACCCCAACCAAGCGTTATGACTATTTGTATAGCCGCAGCCCCCAGGAGTCCCTGCCGGGGACTGTTAGAGGCGGTACAAACACAGAGCAAAAAGATGGTCCCTCCCCCAAGTCTAAGTAACTCAACACCATCCTCATTTCTCTTTGACCTTTGTCGAGGTAACAGGCCACTTTAATTAAGGTTTCGTTTTTTAAACAAATGCCTATAGGGCTGTCACGGAGTTGGGGGAGGAAAGTACCTGCACCCCCGGCTTCCTGCGACTCACCATGACTCTCAGCCAGCCAGTAAAGCAGGTTTATTTAGACGACAGGAACATGGTCCAAGACAGATCTTGCAAGTACACACAATAGGACCCCCTCAGTCAGGTCCATCTTGGGGGGCCAGGGGAGGCCAGGAAGTCTGTCTGGCCTCCCAGCCAGCTTCAAACTGAAACTCTCCAGCCTCTCCTCTGCCTTTGTCTCTTTCCGGTGCCAGGAGGTCACCTGATCTCTTTGTTCTCCGACACCTTCAGTTGGCACCTTTGTAGAGGAAGGGCCCAGGCCATTAGTTGCCAGGAGACAGAGTGTCGGCCATTCTCTGTGCAGACAGTATCACAGGGGCCCTCTTGGGCTCTGCAACAATCATACATCCTGATCCCCTCCCACCTAGATACCTAAGAAATGCATAGGGGAAACTGAGGCACCCACACAGTATTCAGAGAAAACATTAAGAGCATTCCC